ATGAGGTGGGAGTGTGCTTGGTCTGCTGGAAGGAGGTGGCCAGTGTGTTTGGAGCAGAGCAAGCTAAGGATAGAGTCAGAAAGTACAGGGCAACCAGACTACTACTTTTGTTTTCAATCTTACAGCCCCTCTGCTGCAGCATACTCTCTGTGCCCATCTTTTCAGAGCATTGCTGACTTGCTGAGGGTGGGGGTAAGGGATAGTGAGAAAAAGATGGCATGGAGGTTGCTCTGTTTAACATCCCAGTATTTGCTCTAATTGGCCTGAGGTGAGACATACAATAATCTGGGCTTAAAAGGTGGCAATATCCTCCTTAAAGGGCCTGATTAAATTGCGCTTCAGATGTGGTCATTAATTTTTACTTGACCTACATGTCAGAAAAAATTACAATTCATAGCATAACTTAGTTCATACTTGTATTTTTTTTCTACTTAGTTCTTTTTAATGATGGTTGTGAGAATATAATGATCTTAGGAGCCACTAATACAGGGATTCTAAGCCCTGCCAATTCACAAAAGTTGCCTTTCAGTGCTCTGAAAAAACTTGGGTGCTCACATAACATCCCCAGGTATTTTTGATTTAGTAAATTTGGAACCAGGTCCTAGCATCCTTGCAAAAATCTGCCCTGAAGATTTTAAAGTGAAGCCTGGGGTGACATCATTGGCACTAATGGGTAGTGATTAATATGATGAAACCCATTGCTTTAACACATAATCTATACCCATGGGTCAAGAAGATCTTCATTCTCTGACCATCATTCCAGTTGGTGGGCAAGACATGGGGTAGGGAAGTAATCAGGCCCATTGTCTCACATCTACTGGAGTCATTAGACAAAGAGGTGATGTACTAGTTTCCTAGAGCCACAGTGAAAAATTACCACAAGCTGGGTGGCTGAAATAATAGAAACTTGTCCTTTCACAGTGTCTGCAGGGCCATTTTCTCTGAAGGCTCTAGGAGGGAAGCCTCACTTGCCTCTTCCTAGCTACTGGTAGTTGCTGGCAGTTCTTAGTGTGCCCTTGCTCACACATGCATCACTCCAGGTTCTGCCTCCTTTGTCCCCAGGCCTTCTATCCTGTACCCCACACCCTTGTATCTTCAAATTTTATAAGGATGCAAGTCATTGTATTAGGGTTTACCTAATCCAATATAACCTCATTTTAACTTGATTTCATCTGCAAAGACCCTACTCGCAAATAAGGTGATATTTACAGGTACCACAAGTTAAGATTTCAATATAGCCTTTTTGGGGAAACACAGTTTGACACACAACAGGCAATGTCAGGGTGTCTACTGAGCACCATCAGCACAAAGTATTAAGACCTTGTTACTTTTCCTAGTTACCCATGGAAAATGTTTAAGACTTGAAAAACAATGTAAAACTATGAGCTCCAAAGTACCAATAGAAAATTACTAATACGAATTTTAAAATGTTGAATTGAATGTCAATAAAGTATAATAAATCTATTTCATAAAATCTATTTTTTAAAACTGAGTACTTTAATTTATAAAAGTGGTTATAAAATAACATGTGGACTCCATTTTCCTCACCTCTAACAATTCCCCAATATGAATGAAGTTTTGCCAAAATGTCAAACATTCAAAATCTTTTCTAATTTACCAAGGCAAAAAAATAATTACCAAGTAGATTCTTGGGACATGTTAATATATTGCATGTGGTGTGGATGAGGTTTTCATGAATAAGGCATTCCAAGAGCCTGCGGAGGTGGCACTGGCCCTGAAGTTTCCTCATACAATCTGGATAGATGTTGTCAAAACTTGCAAGTCTGATGAACCAATGTCTTGGACAACACCTGCTTGGAACTTTCTTAGGCAATTCCTGTGAAATTAAGAACTAAAAAAAATCATGTGGAGTGGACTGAGCACCCTAGGAACAGTGGAAAAACATATTCAGGGTGCTGGAAGAAATACCAGAAAAAAAATTGCTCTTAAGCCTTGGTGGAAGACCTCATCATATTCTATTAAATAGCAACTGATATACCCGCAGCACTGAGGCAGAGTCTTAAATTCATGTTTTCTAATTTTGAAACACATTATCATCTACCCCTTTCCATCAGACACTCACTTCATCAGGAGACTTGTGGACAGTAGAGTCCATTTAAAACTATCAGTCTGAGCTGGGGACTCCTGCTGATCAGTGACTCCTAGCTGACCTCTTCTTCCTTAGAGAAACAGTTTCCTCTGCTCTACTAATATTCTTGCCTTTGATTGTACTCTGACACACTCTAGTGATTGACTCAATATACTTCCCATGTTACGAGTTCCCCCAAAAAACCCAGATTTGTTTGCTAGGAGGGCTTAGGGTATTCAGTATATAATTGGACACATAGCTTTCATCTACTACAGTGAAAGGATACAAAGTAAATCAGCAAAGTGAAAAGGGGCATGGCATGAGAGCTAGAGGAAACAAGGTTCAAGTTCTTAAGGGTCTTCTCCCAGTGGAGCCCCACAACATCCTCTCAATTCCTCCAGCAATGAGTATGACAAAGTGTGAAATGGTATCAGGGAAGCTCATTACAGACTTAGTGACCTAGATTTTTATTTGGGCTGGCCACATAGGTACCTCCAGTCTTATATGTACCCAAATCCCAGACTTCCAGAAGGAGAATAGCATAAACTGTGCTGTTTGCATTTGTTCAGGCATAGAAAGCCTCTTATAAGGAATGGTGGAAGCCCTCCTGAAATTAAAGTTCCCAGATGCCATTGAGAGTTAGAACACCTATAATGGAGGCTCAGCACTGCCATCCAGCATGAAGCAGGCTGGACAGTTTTGTTGGCAGGGAAGCTATTGCTATGATGGATCAAGGCCTAGGTCCATCTCCACCACAGTACAGATATGTTTACTAAGAGCACCTGCCACTGTTTGCAGGCTCTCTCAGCAGCATCATGGTAGGTAGGAAGAATAAGCACATTACAAAAGGTGTGCAAAAATGAACCAAGAAGGAGTTTTTTCATATTCTAAAAAAGAGTGGCATGACGTGAAAGCACCAGCTATGTCCCTGATAAGACATATAGGGAAATCACTAACCACAAGTAATCAAGGAGCCAAAATGGCATCTGAAGACCATGTTTCTGAGGTTAGTCTTGCTTCAAAAAGATGACATGGCATTTAAGACACTAGGATAATTACTGAGATTTCTCCAGGCAAAAATTCTTAACCAATTTCTTGGAATGGCTCTTACCTGTAACAAAATTATTCCATAGTCAAAAAAAAAAAAAAATGGCAGTGATCATGACTGATTCTATGTTGACTTCAAGACTCTTAATACTATGTTGAATCAAAACGATGTATAGTTATTAATTTCATCTGTTCCCTGTGTTTTGACATTGTTATTAACAAATTAACACAAACAGGTGGGAAAAGAACATTCTCAGAAGGCCAAAAGTCTGAAACAGATCCTATTTGGTAAAAGCGGATGGTGTTCCTTCTTGAGACTCTAGAGGGCGAATCCGTGTTGTTGCCTTTTCCAGCTTCAAGAGCTTTATGCTTTCTTGGGCTTTGGGTTCCCTCCTTGCAGCAATCAGACATCTTCGGTCATCAAGTCTCCTTTTTCTAACTCTGATCACTTGTTGTCCTCTTATAAGGACCCTTCCTTGTGATTACATTGGGCTCACCCAATAATCCAGTTTAATTTCTCCTACTCAAGATCTTTAATTATATAAAAACTTCTTTTGCCATGTGATCTCACAGATCCCAAGAGCAAGAACATGGACAACTTTGGGGGTAGATGGGGCAATTATTCTGCCTATCATAGTATGGTTTTTGGGGTTGCTTGGGTTTTTTTGGGGTTTTGGTACTAAGGATTGAACCCAGGGGTGCTTAACACTGAGCCACATTCCCAGCCCTTTTAAAATATTTTATTAGAGATAGGGTCTCACTGAGTTGCTAAGTTCCTCACTAAGTTGGTGAGGCTGCCTTTGAAAGCACGATCCTCCTACCTCAGCTTCCTGAGCTACTGGGATTACAGGCATGTGCCACCCAACCCAGTTTGTAGTATTTTTAATTGGGAAAAAAAGAGAACAACACCTACAGGTCTACCAAATCTGGAAGATAATAAAAGTCATGACCAGAGAGGTACAGAAAAACGAAAGATGTGGTAAATAAGTTGATTTCTGGAAGCACTGGAAAAGTCATAAAAGAAGCTGGCCACCCTATTTATCCTTCTTATGATGTGTTTGCTTTAAGAATGCTAGAGAGGCATAAGTTTGAAATGGGAAAATAGGTCTTTATGGTGAAGACAGTGGTTCTGAAAAATGGAGGCTAAAGTTGAATGAATCGATAGATATGAACCCCTATTCAAAAATTTGAAGTTAAGTAGTTGTAAATAGTGACAAAAATCTTAGTAGAAAAGTAAACTTTCTATAGTAATCCAGGCAGCAGTGGAGAAGTAGCCTTAGATGGGGGAACCCAGAGGCTGACCACGTGACAAAGCCTTGCAAGAAAGGCTTCACATGCAAGGAAATTTTTCAGGAGGGAAATAACCACTGGTAGAAAATGGGGAAAGCAGCAAAACAGGGAAGTGCCCAAAGGAGTATATTATCCAGTCTCATACTATGTGGATGACTGAAACCTCGATCCTACTGGGGAAAGCCTGGCAGCCAGTGTAGAAGACAAACCTCAGACTTACTCTTCCTGTGCTACCAGGTTGCTGGGGACTTACACACCTACTCCCCATCAGTCATTGGTAGAGACTACCTCCAAGTGAACATCATTCTTGGCATTTCTTGTCTTCCCGGCAAGAAGCAAAGAACTCAGAGGCAAGACTCTCAGGCTGCAAAATGCAGATGTGGTAGTTCAAAATGATGGGTAGTTCAAATGAGATAAAGGCAACCAGGGAGTTTGAATGTGGAACTAACTTGCTATAAGAAAAAAGATCGCAAGATTAATCAATGGAATGGTTTCAAAGGGGGCTAGTTCTCCTTATGCATAATGGTTACTCTACCATATAAAATGGTCAGTAAGAGGATGGAGCAACAAGGGAACAAGTTTAATACTTCTGCAGTTACATTTTAGAACAGGACAGGATGATTAGCAGATAACAAGTTGCATGGTTTCTGTGTTTCAAAACTTTAAATGGAAGACTGCATTTGGAATTATTTTGTAAAATGACAAACATTTACATGATGTAGAATACAAACAATGAAAAATTGTCAAGTGATACAAAGAAAAGTTAGTAAGCATAAATTTTCACTTTGTGAACTTCTTTGTCATCACATTCCCTCTGTTTGTTGTAGTAATAAAAAGTATTGTCCCTTCTCTGAAGTTTCTTCACATAGCCTGTCTCTGGCCATCGATCTACCTGCACAATCAAAAACCAGAATATAAATATTGAAATGCCCATTTTATTTTATCTCATATTTTACTATCAAATACTCAAAAGTACACTTACATCAAAAAAATTGAAGTATAAATTTTAAAATGCTTGTATTCTTAGGGGTATTACCCACAAAAAAAAAAAAAAAAAACAGACCTTAAGCTATAAATTTATACTGTAAGAACAGCTAATTCAGTGCTTCTCTCTGAAACCCAATTTCTTGGATTAGATGTCTACATGGTGATCCAGATATGAAAATATTTCAAATAATATAAACTTAATTCTTCTTATGTTTATAAATAATTTCAAATGTAATTACTTATAAAAATAACCCCAAGGAGAAAATCAGGGGTAAGCCTATGTCCCATTCTGAAAGCACCATATGCTGATTACGAATGTCATAAAAGGACAAAAGGAAGCAACTAGACTAAAAATATCTAAAAGTACATATGTATTTCCTTCTGCTCAAATTTCAAGTTCACCTCGAAGTCCAGTTTTTAATAGACATTTGAGGTCATTAAACATAGTCTTCAACAATCTTTTCTTCTCCCACTATTCTTTCTTATATTCTATATTGGTTTGCTTACTTTCTTATATGACTTGACCTGACTTGAACATTTTTCTCCTCTTCCTTTCCAATTGCAATGTTATGGCTTCTTGATCAGGTTATTGTATTTTTGTTGTTAAATTTGTTACTTCAGGATTTTGTGAGATGTACTTTATCACTCTCAAAAACACATCGTTCAGGTTTTAGGAAAAATCAAATCTTGTTTTTCACCACCATCAATACTTTCTAATATTCTACAAATCATAGCTTTCAATTGGAAGAAAAGATGCACATACTATCTAAGTTTTAGGTCTTTCATTTTTTAATATTTCATTTTCTTGTTTACTTATGAATTAGCAAAACAGCAGCGTGTCTGATAAATCTTAACAGGCCTTCTCATATTTACACTGTAGGAAAACAGCAAGCCTTTTCACCACTGTATGCCAAGTCTGCCTTTCTGCCTCCCATTACCCCCAGCAGGCAAAGGAGGTATTCTCAAGTTGCCCTTACTGACTCCCATAACTTACCAGGACTACAAATACCATCCCGCACAGTGAATAAGTAGTGTTTCTGCAGAACATTTGAGGCCACCTTATATGGAATGATATTTTTAAAAAGCTATTTGGGCCTGTGCTCATTGGCCTCTATAGATAGGTTTACAAAAAAAAAAAAACTCTTGCCATTTTTGATTATTTTTTTTTCTTTTGGACTTTGAACTTGATGACTTCCATTTGATTTGGAACCTCCTTCCTATAATAGAATGGAATGATAGGATTCTCATGTTCAATTTCCTTCTGCTTAGCCAGGGAGGTCTGCAAGCACTAATAGTACTTGTCAATGGGGCAGGTTTCAGATAAGGAAAAAAAACTTTTCTCAAACCCACAGATCTCAGCATGTTGATAGGGACATCTCACTCAAGGCACACCTTCAGTTTCCACCTTATCACTTCTTTATTAGCACCACAAATGCCACTGGGGGAATGAAGACTTTTATGAGGATTTTCCTCATTTTGTTCTCTAAATTTCTGTGCTTCTTCTTAAGGTACATATACTTTGACTTGCATATAGTTTTTCTTTCTTTCTTTCTTTCTTTTTTTTTTTTTTTTGTATGGGAGACTAAACTCAGGAGTACTCAACCACTGAACCACATCCCCGGCCCTATTTTCCTATTTTGTATTTTATTTAAAACAGGGTCTCACTGCTTAGCACCTCACTGTTGTGAGACTGGCTGTGAACTCAAGATCCTCCTGCCTCAGCTTCTTAAGCAGCTGGGATTACTGGCATACACCACTGTACCTGGCATTATATACATYAGTGTGTGTGTGAGTGTGTGTGTGTGTGAGTGATTGTTACCTATTTTCTATTCCAAGATAATAAGAAAGCTATCAATCATTAATGACAGCATTAATAGTTAATTAACAGTTCTATTCACTCAACAAATTATTATGAGCACCACACTGCTAGGCACTCCAAACATAAAATTCATTTAATTTCTATGGCAGTTTTTTAAAGCAGGTACTACCATAAAACATAGATGAGGAAATAGAGGCTCAGTGAAGTTTAGAACCTTGTACAGGCCAATCAGCTTGAAGGGGTGAGGCCAACCTATAACTGATTCCAAAAGGCTTGTACTCTTCCATGAGTTCACTGGATTTCTTGCAGTCAGGCACTCTCTATTTTTATCTTTTAAAGCCTTTGGCACAAAAATTTGCATGCGGCAGGTATCCAATAAATATATATTAAATGAAAACACAAAGCCTCTATAATTACCAAGTAATAAAAGTAAACATGACAACTTTTGCACACAGATACACACACACACAAATAACAAAAACACACCCCTCTTGGTTGCTTTTTGGAACTTTCTCATTAAGGCTGTATTCTGTGTTCTCTTAAATAACATTATTAGGTATGGGGATTTAGGGCAGGTGTGATTATAACACAAAGTATGTTGTGTTTCACACTGCCTCTATGATCCTGGGTCTTGAGTATCTTTAGGAACATCCCAATCCTTTTTGCCCCCTGGTGTTGGGGATCAAACCCAGAGCCTCGAACATGCTAGGCAAGCACAGTACCACTGTGCTACATCAGACCAAGCATCTCAATTTAAGGCAAGGAATGAAGCTTATTTTTAAATAGCATTAACCTATTGAGTTCCAAGTTTTCATTTCTGCAAATATTTCAGCAAGTTGACATGGGTGCATTAAAATAGGTTAGAAATAATATTCTAAAGCTTTTATGCATATTAGTATTATTACATATTCTTATTAATTATCTTATATTAGCATTATTATTATTACATATTCTTATTATAATAAGATACTATATTTAAGTTTGTATAGTTGTTCTACATCTGTGATGATGGGACAAAATGGGTTAAAATGACAATGATTCTAGTTTTTCCTATTTAAAAGCCACAGATGGTGCAGTAATGAAAACTAAGGAGGCCAGAGTAAAATGTTTGTATATATGAAGAGATGGATTTATGAAAATCACAGTAACTCTTCATTAGATCAGTATTTTTAACTTCATTTCTCATCAATTCTGTCAAATTAATGTCTATTAAATTCAAGTTGATTAAAGAGCATATTACATTTTAGCTCTGTATTTCCTCTACATCTTTTCCTATCTACTTTCATAGAAAGTATTAAATAGAAAAAAGTAGAATGCAGAAGAAAGATTATAGAGATCTGAAAAATTCACAACCAGTTTCTCAAAAATAGTGAGTTAAAAAAATAGTACAATAAAAAAATTTCTAAAACTTAGGTAAAATAACTGTTATAACTCAAAATTTAAATATTAACTATTATGATTGAGTATTATAAAAATTTAAATATATTATTAAATGTCCTAAATTTTAAATTTTATGAATACTATGCCCAATTCTATGAGAATCTTAAGAACTCTCCTAGTAGCCAGTAGAATAAATGAGTTAAAAGAAATTACATTATAACTGCTACAAAGATCTCAGTCTAGTCTTTGAACAACAAAACAATGTCTCTGCTCTTTCAGAAAAGCTTGGAATGTGCAACCAAAGTCAARATTTGTTCTCTAACAGTGTTTTTATTTTTCCAAGTATAATCCCCATAAAAATATAACTCCTTTCTGAATCATGGTCAAAATAAATAAACAGAAGGGAGATAATAGTATACAACAAATTGAATAATTGATAATAGAATTACCCTTTTTTTCTGCCAGGAAATATTCTTTTAGCTGAGCCTGGCTGTTCAATAAAAGCTAAAAATTTTGAACTGCCCCCAGACAAGGGACTACCTCTTTGCCCAGTCAGCCTGGCAAATCACTTTTTTGGGCCTTGGTCTCCTCCTCAATAAAATGAGAGTTGCAGTAGAATTCCCTTCAGATTTTTGTTTGTTTGTTTTGTTTTGTTTTTAAAATTCTTTTCATCCTCTAACAGACTCATTTCAAGTTCATGTTTGTAGAGGCATAAATCTTACCATAGATACTTGTTTCACTTGTTTATATTCAATTTCATCCCGATATCCTGCTTGTTGAAATCTGTACAGATTTTCTATCTCTTCTGACCATTTTTTGGCACGACTTATTGATTTTGGTTTCACGTCAGAACTAGCCATGGCTACACAGGCCTTATTACCAATTATTTCTGAAAGATGTTAAAACAACATTAATAGATAACTTAATAATAACAATTTTCAAATGTAACACTTAAAAATTAATATATATTGAATTGAGAACCCCAGTTTAAACATGTAAATTTTTTAACACTCAATTTTAAGATTCTAAAGGATTCATGCTGTAAATTGGAAAACCAACAAAGAAACCTCTCCCTACACAGAGAACTGTTTGTTTCTTCACCATATAAAATTGTACTTGGAGTTTGGAGTAATATCCTAAGAGCTGCATACCAGTCCTGGGGGCAATAGTTTGCACATTTCTTAAAACGTTCTTATTTGTACCTGCTCAGCAGATTGTCAAAATATCCCACCACCATTCCATTTAATTATATTAGTAACTGTATCTCTCTTTCACTCCCCCCACCCCCCTTTTTTTTTCCTTAAAAAGGGAATGTAAAATCAGTCTTCTCATTCATGGCTGGGAAACAATGGTTTCTTCATTTTTCACTTCTTAATTGCTAGGATATATCCCAATTACAGCAATCCATTTACTCAGGTCACTGTGGCACCCGATTCTGTATGTACCAACGTGAGAAGAAAACTAACACAAATTTGCAAGTTGTATGGCTATTATTGATTTGTAAACAGTGTAGGAAATCACTAATGGTCTTGGAAATTCTAATATCCAACTCTAGTTTATATAATTGTCCATTCCCCAAACCTCTTTAGCCAGTTTTTGTTTGTTGGATTGATTTTTTTTTTTCAGTGCTGGAGCTCAAGCCCAAGGCCTTTTGCATATGAGGTTATTGCTGTACCATTGAACATAATCTTGCACTTGTTTTTCTCAGCTACTTCTTACTCTGTTACCAAAGCATATCATTTAACTGAAAAGAATGCCCAGAATTTTCATCTGGATTCCTTAAATCCATTCTTCTAGTAAAATATATTTCTATTGACTGAAATACATGAAAATCAGACTTCATAAAGTAGATCTTATGAATCAATTAGCATTTTCTTAGTTTTTTCAATCACAATGACAAATGCTTATCAGGGTAAAAAAAGGCTAAGTGACACATTAAAGTACAAAAAAGGGAGGCAAAATAATCATTATATCGGTTAGAAATATCTACCTTTGACATTGAGTAATCATCCCAAACATAATGAATTAATTAGGATAGACTTGAGAAGTTATAGAAAGAAGTTTTATCATAAATGCTTCCACAAGAGTAACAAATGTATCATTACCTGGATTTAACAGGGGAAACTATAGGAAAAGGAAAAAGTGGCAGACTTTCTGAATTTCAGGTGAATATTTCCTCAACATAAAGATGTAGCCTAAAATTTCCTTCTATGATTAATAAAAGATAATGAAAATTAGCAGGAGGCCAAACTAAAGAGTCACTTGCATTAACTCTGCGTATCAATTACACTACTGATGTACTCTTTTCTATGAAAAATAAGGAAATTGGTTTCCTCTAGATTTTGGTTACTTTTTTTAACATTCTGGAGTATGGCATTTACATTCTATTTTGAAACCATAATTCCCATATTTGTTTGGACTTAGTTCCAGACTTAAGGTAATTTAAATGGGGGCTGGGGATGTGGCTCAAGCGGTAGTGCGCGCCTGGCATGCGTGCGGCCCGGGTTCGGTCCTCAGCACCACATACCAACAAAGATGTTGTGTCCGCCGAGAACTAAAAAATAAATATTAAAAATTCTCTCTCTCTCTCTCTCTCTCTCCTCTCTCTTTAAAAAAAAGGTAATTTAAATGAAGTCATTTGAATCACATAGTTCTTCTGATGAAAGCAGCAACTACATAAATGGATCTATCATTAGTATCATTGTTTGCATTTTTTCAATGTGCATACCAACATGACCAAAGAAAATTAGGGTTTTGTTAGTGAGTTTTTAAAAATTTCTGATCCTCAATTATGGATTTAGATTTAGGCTCATGTTGCATGTTAAAGCAAGTCATTATTAGGGCATTGTATTAATTTATGTAAAATTTGGAATGCCTGACAAAACAATAAATAAGCCATGTTTCAGTAAAAATTCTTGTCTTTCCATTCATTTTAATAGGGAGTTTATTAAATCACTGTTGCACAATACACTAGCTAAGTAAGTTGACATGTGTTAAAATATACATGTAATGTATATTTATATTACATGCAATTTCATGCAGAATATTATATATATGTAACAAAATGATGTTTTAAAAGATTACATGTTTTTATATGAATTTAGTGGCTGTATTACTTATATTACTTTTATAAATAAAGTGCTACAATCTTAATTTATGTTCTCCCCAAGGCATTTTTCAATTTAGGCTTGGTTTTCCCCATACATAATAAAACACTTTTTATTTGTTCATGTTCATTCAAGAATTGTTTTATTGAATGTCATCTCCATAACTTTTTGTCACTTTCAGGTCAGTCATGTCAACTACACATATAAAAATGCTACATTTAATAGAAGAATAGAAAACATGCTAATTCAGTTGTACTGCTGGAAATCACCAGTTGTTTCAGTAAAAATATATATCTTGTAAATATTATTGGGCATCTCGAAATTTCATTTCCCCAAAATATCTAAAGGGAAAATGAATGTAATTTTCAACATAACAGGAACCCTAGTGACTACTGTAACCGTGCTATACTGAGGCGGTGCAAATTCGACTTTTTTTTTTTTTTTTTGTCTCTCTTATTTCCACTTTATTAAAAATATAATGAAACTGAAATTAGGAAATATCAACCTAATTCCTTGATTATTGCAGTGATTCTGGGGAAGTCAGTGACACTACTTCTGCTAGTAGCAATCAGCATTTTTCCACTAAGTGGTTTCTTTAATGATAGTGACAGCAAAAAAAAAAAAAAGGATAAAAAATACTTTTTGCCTCTATAATACTGTTTCATTTCCACAAACAGATAATGGCAATGCATGAGTTTCTAATTTGTGAATATTCAATTTTTATTAAATACTACCAGGATTTATGTGGTACTTGGTGGTGTTGGGGGGGGGACCAATCTCAAGTCCCTGCTGACATCTAAAGTTGTACTTAACAGTACATGCTTCTGATGTAGTCAGTCACTTCAAACTCCCTTCTCTGCAAAGCTCTTTTCTTCTCCTTTATATTCTTAAGTGTTGTTTTCTTTTTTGTTTTTTTTTAACTGCTAGTGATATTAAACCCTTATGAGTATCAGCCTTCTTAATCTTTCATTTCTTTTTTCATTTCATCATTTGTTCCTAACGGGTAGCGGCCGGATCTGGCCGAGGAGACCTTTTGCGTGTAACTCTGGCCACGAATGAATATTCCTGGGCCTTAGTTTCCTAAGGTGAGAGGTAAACATTAGAAGGTCTCTCAAGTTCGCGCACTCCCTCTCCCAGTGTCTTTTCCAGTTCAGTTGAAAAACAAAGCAGTTGGTCCCCTCAACGTGTGTTTGCGGTCTGAGGGCCAGGTGTTCGAACACACTGGCAGCACAAAGCCAAAACCACCCTTTTCGCGCCCCCCCACCGCCCCCCCCCCAAAGTTAGCAGGATGTCTCCACTCCCTCAAACTTTCTTTCTACCAGAAATCGCCGACTATGTCTATGAGGTACAATCTACCCAGGAAAAACGGACTGAGAAAGTACTCTGAACACTGGGTCCAAAGGCTCAGCCCTCACAGTCGCAGTCCTGGAAGCCAAAGAGGGCGCTGGAAGGCCCAGAAATTCATAGGACAATCACCCTGGAGTTTAGCAGGGACCAAAGATCTATACTAAAAACGACAGGTAAGACAAGTAAGTACCGAGCACAAGCTGCGAATCTCTAAGATACCGAGCATCCGCAGGGCGGAAGGGGTGGAGCCCGGGCTTCCGGGGCGGGGGGCCCAGCCGGGCTCAGGGGCTGGTCGGGGCCCCGGTCCTTGGCGGCTCAGCCACCCACCCCTGGGCCAGCTCTCGTGGTTACCCTCGCTCAGCCAAGCAAGAGAAGTCGGAGAGGCCAGGGGACAGGCGGTCGCAAACGTGTTCGAGCTCTCGGAATCCGTGGGCTGGGCCAGCTACAGGCCAACTGTCCTTGCTTCAGCGACCCTCGCGTCTCCTAGCAACGCGAAAGCGCTGCTCCAGCAGTCGCTCTTAGGCCCCGCCCCGCCCTAGACTCCGCCCAGTTCCCTCAGGCACCGCCCCCTCTTTTTTATTTTTTGGTACAGTAGAGTCCCATTTTCCAAACCAATGTCAATCCAGGATAGGAGCTTACTTCTGAGTCTTACTCCTAACTAGAGGTGGAATGTGAAAGGTATTATTGATGTTTCTTAAATTCCAGACAGAATTCCTAAGAAAGTGAATCAGAGCATGGAGACCACTATGAACTAGTCCATGGAGTAGAATATAATGCCTGACAATTAGTAAACATGCAACCAATTATATCTATAGCTTTAATTCTTTTCTAACATTATCTTAATTATTATATTCAAAATACCATCTACACTAAAAGTTAGTGAAAGAAAGAAAATGCAAGATATACACGTTGAACATAGAATAAATATTCACTCATAAATTGAAGTATAAAAAAGAGGCAGTGGTGTACTAGAGTCAGCTCATTAGGGATCACAACAACTAAGAGTTAAAATTTTAGGAATTTTGTTAGCTAGTTATTGAACATAGCCATGTTATTACAAATTAAGTTACATAAACTTCAAATTAAAGGAACATTTTAAACATAATTACTAAAAACTCAGTGTCTACACTTTGAGAAATACTGTTCTAATCTTGCCTCCCACTCCTTGTTTAACTCAAGGCCAGGTTTCCCACTGCTGCTCAAGTTCAAAATTTAAAAGGCTTAGCTTGGGGTACAGTTCCTTTATAGTGTGATTCCTACTTAGCTTGTTCAATCTTCACTTCCCTTTTATGTCTCCATTATTTTGCCCCTTTTGAGCCCAATACTTAGGTTAAACAGAACTAATTTCAGGGCTCAGATTGAGTAAAAGATTGTTCTAGGGACTTCAGCTAGTCTAGGTCTGAAAGCTAAACTCAAATTTACTTTCTCTACTAAGTTTTCTGATAGTCTCTTTTTCCTTGCAAAATTAAGGTCCCCGGTTTGTCCCAACACTATACTTTGGGAACACTTCCATTAAAATTCCTACCAAACTCTTGTATTTGTATTTATTTGTTCCCATGGGTTTCTCCTTCTGTGAGACTGTATTACAGGTCTTTATAGGCTATGACTGATTCCTTCATGTGCCTCCTATTTAAGGCATGTGCCGGGTCCTTAATAGATGCCAAATGAAAAATAATTCCTGAAATTTATTGAGAAATTACCATTTCTCCAGTGATTGGACTTTTTTGTTTGTTTGTTTGTTTGTTACTTCCATCTTAATCTTACAGGTGAGAAAACCAAGTTTCAGAGAGGTTGGTTAACTTAGCCAAGATCACACTAATAGGAAGGACTCAGACTGTAACCAGGGCCTCTACCATCTAGTGACTAGACTCTGAGCCTCCTATCTGTTTATTTTGGAATGTTAACTTGAATGAATCCAAACATTTCTCTGCCTACTTCTAAACCCATTTTTCTTTCTTTTTATTAAAAAAAGTAATAAACTTTGTATTTTACATTGCTTTTTCTTATGAGTTAAATTGTGTTCTTTTCAAATCCAAATGTTGACATCTGGACCCTCAGCACCTAAGAATATGTCAATTTTTGGAATAGGGTCACAGGAGTTATAATTATGTAAGATGATATCTTACTAGAGAAGTGTGAACTCCTCCCTAATTCAACATGATTTCTGTCCTTTATAAAAGGGAGAAGTATGGACACAAGCATGCACATGGGAAGAAGCCCAGGTGAAGATACGTCAAAGACTGGGGTCATGCTTTTACATAAAAGGAACACTTTTTTCAAGTCAAGGAACACTAATGATTGACAGCTAACCACTAGAAGCTATGGGAGGAGTATGGAACAGTTTCTTCCTCACAGTCCTCTGAAGGAACCAACCTAACAGCTTGGTCTTGCACTTGTAGCCTGCAGAACTGAGATGATAAATTTCTGTTGTTTAAACCACCCAGTATGTGCTACTTGTTATGAAACCCTAGCAAACAAATACACTTTTTATATCTTATTGTATACTCCCTAGAATAACATAATATTATATTCTAAAAGAATAGAATAAGACACAATAAATTATAATGAAAGTTATTTACATTGACAAAGATTTTTAAGTATATTAAATTAAGTAAAATATATTCTAATGTGACTTCCCAACAATGATCTATATATCTAAATGTATAACTATTTTTTAATAATGGGGATTGAGTTCAGGACCTCACACATGCTAAGCACGTGTTCTACCATTAAGCAACACCCTCAGCCCTTCAATAATGAATTTTTAGATTTTCAACATAAGCTTATTGGCAGTTTTCAGTCTTGTTGGGATAGAAGGAATCAAAGATGTAGAAATTGAAAGAGTTGTGAGATTGCTGAAAGATGGAGATTTCCAACTAGGGAATGAGGATGCAGAAAACTGTAGGTGTCACTGTTGTGCATCTCACAGCTTTGCTTTATTTTTTAAAACAAACATCCACTGGAGAAATTACTCTCAGGATTCAGCATCCAAGCTTGGACTTCTTCTGAAAAAAATATTTATAATTTAGGAATGCCTCAAACTAGGAAATTATTGTGTTTTCTTCTTTCCTTTGGCCTCTTAAAGAGCCAAATCCAGGCCCTGCCTTTCATATGAGTACTTGTGTATGTGTATCCGTGGGCTGTGCTTAGCCATCTTCATTATTTGTCCCATCTTTCCCTCTCCTTGACTTTATTTCCCTATATTATTTTGTATTGTATCCAATTGTGAAAAAAGGGGAGATAAATAAATGAGCAGATGAATAATAGTATAAGCATTTTCCTGTCTTGACTCTCTAGAAGCTCCACATTCTTCAAGATTCTGTAGATATCAGACTCTCTACAGAATTTGTTGTTACATATCGACTACTTCACCAAAGCAATAGCCCTCTTTTATTCTAGGAAAAAACCATCTTATACCAAAAATGGTTTGGTAGTAGTAGAGTGGTAGACTATTTTCCTTAAATTAGTGATTATGGTGTTTATACCTTTCCACTCCACTGCTCTTTCTTTCCTTCCCCTTCCCTCTCCTCTTCATTGAGATTTCATGAGAATCTGTACATAAATAAACCTCTGAGTATCAGCTGCAAGGATAAGCTGCTGTTCTCTGACTATGGCCCACTGATTCCTGATTCCCCTGGTTAGAACTTCTTGTTTCTGGCTTTGTTCTCATATCATTTTGTATCTCCGCAGAGGCTCTGATTTACCATGTTCTGCAAACAGGTGGTCTCCAAACTGATGGAGCACTATTTGAAGGTACTTTTTAGCTAGCTATGTAACCACCATAAGGCTTGACACAGTGTCATTGTATAAGCAGGATTTTAAAAGTGTTCCAGTTTTTGTGATTAATAATAATACTGTATTGTCTAGAGAAACTTGCTGGGGAGAGGCATAATAAATGCCATTGTGACTACATATTTGGTGGGTCTTAACACTTTAATAAACCTCTTCAGAGCTTTCCCCATCATCCATTTGTATATTCTAACTTCCTAAAAATACAGCTGAAACAGGGGTGGGGGCGGGGAGGAGGCTGGAGGAGGCTAGCAGATAAGACACTGCAGGGATCGCTATGTCTTTGCCCTAAGAGCGTGCTTCTGAGCTGTAATTATTAGAGATAGTTATTCCCTAAATTTGTAGATCATGAATATATACGGAGGAGCGAACGGCTAAGTATGGAATCTACCATGAGTATGAAATTTTCATATGGGATCCTCATGGCTATAGAAATTGCGAGGAGAAAAACAAGCTTGGTTTTTGAAAGACAAGAAAAGGAACGCAGTCAGATTTAGAGCCAACTCCGCAGCCCACTTCACAGGAGTGCTACTGTTTGTTCCAGGCCCTTGATCCCACCGGGTCGGGCGACCCCACTCTAGGTAAAGCCACAGGCTCACTGTCTGCAGCTCAGCTCCGACATTTAAACCTGAGGCCCAGGCGGCGGGAATCTATGGATGCTCCTCGGCACCGCCCTCAGCCGCTAGGCTCCTCTGATTGGTCGTGGCTGCATTCGGCCGACCAATGGAGAGGCGGTGTAAAGGTTCCCGGAAGTGGCGGTCCGATCTGTGTCAGCCTCGGCTTTCGCTGCCGGCTCGGGGTTCAGTTCTCTGCGGCGCTATGAGTTCCTTTGAGGGACAGATGGCTGAGTATCCCACCATTTCCATTGACCGCTTCGACAGAGAGAACCTGAAAGCCCGAGCCTACTTTCTGTCCCACTGCCACAAGGGTGAGTGAGACCTACTTCCGGGATGTAGGGTGCTGGGAGTGACAATGGCAGAGGGGACGGGGTCCTGGAGCAAGAGGCGTGCAGGTTACGGGAGGCCAGCGAGGGACTGGAAAGCGCACATGCCCCAGTCGGCTCTTCAGCCTAACACTTTATTCCTAGATCTGCACAACCTGGAGTAACAGCGATTGCCAGTTGCGCACAGTGACACTGGCCAATGTGGTCGGTCACTGAGTTATTTTGGTCGCTGTCCTAGTGGCGGCTAGTCAGATGTTGCCGAGGTTTAGTTCGTTCTTCCTCTGTGTTTCTCCACCCACTTCTCTTTACCATGTGTAAAGAAAACAAGTTTCAGATCAACTTGTTATAATCCCCAACAGTAGTTAGCCAACATCTGTGCGCACACCTGATCAAGTTGAACAACCTATATCAAGTGCAAGCTACCCCTCTTTTTAGATGTTCTGTCCACATTTAACATGAGAGATCTATTCTAGTCTAGGATGGCAGGATTTACCTTCTAGAAGGCATCAGGCACCCAGAACCCTACAGTTCTACAGCTGGACATATTCAGGGATGGAGTTTAGAGTATCATATTTCATGATACTGACCCGAGGCTAGATGCTCCAGGAGGAAGCCAATGTACATTTTTAACATCTTTTTGCTGACTAGTAAGTCAGCAAATTAATTAATTTGCTACTTAATTAATTTGCAGCACTGAGATAAACCTAAGCCCTCCAGCAGCTGCCTCTTCCAGTGCCAGCTTCTAGATTAGCTATTGAGGAGTGAATCAAGAGTAACAAATTCATGCATGCATATCATAGTGCAGAAGTATTTTAAAGCAAGTTATGGATATAGAAATTGCCTTTCCTCATGTGGTTGGTGTGGAATCAATCACTTTAACCTGATCTATATTGTTGACATTACTGCTTTTGGGAAATGCCTCTGTTTCTTTCAGTGATTTCTCTTTAATGAGGAAAACATGAACCTCCCCTTTTGATTAGCTATTACTATACTCTGAGAGTCTGTTTATTCTTGAGAACATAATTTTGGTTTTGTTTTTCATTGAGAAGCCACTGCTTGATGAGGATGCTCATAGTTTTACTCATTGGAGACTCTTGAACTCAAAATGTGATCGCCATTCCTTTGACTGAATTAAAATTAGTAGAGTTTATTTGAGCAAAGAAAAACAAAATACAACTTGTGAATCAGGAAGCTTCCAGAACCACCACAGGCTCTGAAAACAGCTAACAGTATGATCTGACAATATTTACAGAAGAATAGTGGTCAGGCCTAGAAAAGAACTTAATTGGCTACAGTGTAGACAATCAGCCATCCAATTGGTTATAGCTTAATTAGTTAGTTGATTATGGGACATTTTGCAGCCAACCAAAGCCCAGTTACTGTGATTAAACTATATTGGTTTGATTATTGTAGCTTAGTGCAAAAGCCTAGTTCAAATCAATGGCCTCCTACAAAATTTAGTAACAGCAGTAATTAAAGTTTATTTAGGAACTTGTCCTTCCTGTTTAGGATTAATGAGTTTGAATTCATCTAAAGGAATTTGTGAGATCACTATCATGTATTTGTACATTAAATAAGAAATTGAATTTCCCTACTCTGGAGCAGTTTATAACAATTTTTCCTTTTCTCTAATCACATGTGAATTTATTTATGCAAACTCAACATGGGCAAGAACTCAACTTCTGCTTTTGGAGTCTCCTACATTGCTTACTGGTATTTTTTAACCTTTTGGAGGCATAGGCTTCTTTGACCATGCTATCCACTCACTTCCCCAAATCAAATATGTTGAAGTCCTAAGCCAGTGTGATAATATTTGAAGCTAGGTCCTAAAAAGAAGGTAATCAAGGCTAATGGGAGAGGTGGGTGTGGTGGCTCACACCTGTAGTTCCAGAACTTAGGAGGATGAGGCAGGAGGATTGCAAGTTTGAGGCTACCCTCAGCAACTTTACAATACCTTGTCTCAAAATGAAAAACTCAGTTTTTTATTTTGGTAAAACACCCTGGGCTTAATCCCCAGTAAAAGAGGAAGGGGGCTGTCTCTTTACAGAAGCACACAATGGGAAGGCAGCTCTAGGAAAAGAGGCCTCATCAGAAACCAAATTGGCTAACATTTTGATCTTGAATTTCCCATCTTCCTGAATTGTGAGAGATAAAAGTGTATTAATTTAACCTCCCAGTTTATGGCATTTTATTATGGAAACCTGAACCGACTAATGTAGAATACCTAACTATAGGGTATTCTCTAGAGAAAAAAAAAACATAGAATACATTAACGTTATATGATTAAATTGGGTCATGGACCCATCTGGAGGCCAACTCTGTGCTCAGGGTAGGATTTATTGAGCATCAGTCAGGTTCAGAGGATAAGAGGGCTCTCATGGCTTGAGAGTGGCCCAAGGTTGGAGAAGATCTCTTGAAGGGGCAACTCAAGGTGATTTTTTTCTTATCAAGGAAAAGAAAACCACTCTGGAAAGTAGACTCTGGATGCAGTCAAGGAAACTCACCCAGGTTCTCTTGACTACCAAATAGGAAGGGCCTATGGGTGGTGGGGATGGAGGTCATGATACAAAGGCACAAGGTACTACCTGCTGCATTAGTTTGAGAGAATGGAGTACAGAGTTTGGATTCAGCCTCCTTTCTGCTGGGACACAAGTTCTTGGAAACCTTTGGGACATACCCATAAGTCCTAAACAGCTGGACCAGCTGCAACCTGAAGGGACTCACTTTCTTAGGGAACAGGTGATTTGTCCTGGAAGGGCATGTGTCCCATGAAGTATGATGACTACTTTGTTTTCTCTGGATCCACAGATCCACAATTATAAACCAAAGTCTTGTGTGTATGTGGTGGTAGTGATAATCAAAAGATTAGAAATAGTTCAATGTAAACAATTAGAAGTGTTTGGACATTATTATTATGCAAGGCCTTTATACACTGAAGAGTCACAATATATTAAAATGCACTCTGTGGTAATGTACTCTTTGGTATAATTGTTAGGTTTCTTGCATGTTATCTTTCTGTGTTGGTTAACTCGGAGGGCTGTGGAGCAAGTCTGTGTGGCTAGTAATGTCCCACCTTTCAATCTAGCAATCACACTGGGCTGAGCAGATGATGAAACACAGCTGTTGAATTGTGGCTCAGGCCCAGGAAAGAAGCTTTCAGTCTCAGGTGGTTAAAAGAAGATGCCAGGCACAGTCAGGATAGTAGATGTGCTTTATTCAGAGGTGGCAGCAGCCCCTAGCCCCCTGAGTGTTCCCATAGGCCTTTTTTATATACAGGCTACACAAAGAGGGCACATTGCCAACAGGTTACATAAGTGGGTGCATGCTCAAGGCACATGTTTATGACCTTGATTGCATACACTGAATCAGAGTGTTCATACTTTGGCTATGTACAAAAAACACAACCTGCAGGAAACCTTGGTGAGGAGCCTGTCTATAGCTATCTCGGGCCTGCCCTACAGCTACTGATTCTGGCTTCAGCCTGAATGACATCCTGGTGGAGTCCAGTGGACAGCAAGCTTCATCTTCTAGATGGACTAAGTTAAGTGGTGGGAGTTGAATGGGTCACACTGTAGGAAGCCCAAAGAATGTTTGGGTTGAGGACAAGAGTGAAGGGAAGTTCTAGAAGCAATTATCCATCCAGTGGTTCCCCAGGGAGGTTTAGACTCTGCCCAAGATGCTGGGGGTCACTTTCCTTTTAAATTACTTTTGATGGCTCAGGGTTGGGCAACTTTTAGTAGTTCCTATTCTTTTCTCAGACGGATTCCTCATCTGAGAAGAAAGGGCTCACAGCCCACCTAAATCAGTCTCTTATAAAAGTTTACCTCATGTTTTCTCTTAACAGGAAGCATCACAAGATGACTCAGTTTCTTTGGGCTACGGAATTCTCTGGAAAATAAAAAACATGTTTATGATTTTTGTTCTCCTGTTTTTAGATCACATGAAAGGATTAAGGGCCCCTACCTTGAAAAGAAGATTGGAGTGCAGGTGATTTCTTTTACTACATATTTTGTGTGTGTGTGTGTGTGTGTGTGTGTGTGTGTGTGTGTATGTGTTTAAGTAAACATTTTAATTGGGAAATAACATCTAGACAGAAAAGTGCATACATAAGAAGGGGAAAGACTGAACTTTTACGGAGTGAACACATCTACCCAGATCAAGAAATTGAACACTATCCCAGACCCCCTGTCTCCTCCTGGTTCTTCCTCCTCCCAGAGGTAACCCCTATTACTCTTGTCATCATGAGTTAACTTTTGCTGTTTCTGAACTTTGTATAAATAGTCATACTGAATAGAGTCTTACGTTTTTCTTTGATTTAACATTATATTTGTGTGTTTCATCCATGCTACTGGCTAATAACATTTGTCTTAATTTCTGTGTGTTTGAGTGTGAATGGTCTTATAATAATCTTTGGATATGTTCTTTTTTTGGTACCAGGGATTGAACTCAGTTGTGCTTAACCACTGAACCACATCACCATCCCTTTAAATTTTTTATTTTGAGACATTGCCTTGCTAAGTTGCTAAGGCTGGCTTTGAACTTGCAATCCTCCTACCTCAGCCACTGGAGCTGCTGGGATTACAAGCATGCACCACTGCCAGCTGGATCCTTTTGTTTTGTTTAGTTTTGTTTGTTTAGTTTTATACTAGTGATTGAATCCAGGGGCACTTAACCACTGAGCCACATCCCCAGCCCTTTTTATTTTTTATTTTGAGACAGGGTCTCACTAGGTTGCTTACAGCCTTGCTAAAAGTTGCTGAAGCTGGCTTCAAACCTGCAATCCTGCCTCAACCTCCCAAGCTGCTGGGATTACAGGCCATCATGCCTGGCTTGGATCTGTTGTTAAAGGTGAACTATTGGACTCTTCCTGAAGCCATTATTTAAATCTAAATTCCAAATTCTCATGATACATATTTGGAAAAGGCCCTTTGATTTTTAAACCAGTGGCTGTTAGGCTTCTCTGCTACCAAATATCAATAATTTGTGTTCTTGAGAAAGATAACTAACATTTCTCGAAAACTTACTATATTCAAGTCACTGTGAATTTTTTCAGGAATTTTTTTTGAGTGCCTGCGATGAGTCAGGCATGGTGCTAAAGGTTGAGAATATAGTGGTGAGTGACACTGATGAAAATCCCTGTCTTCTTGGAACTGACATTCTCATTAAAGCCTTTTGATAATCTTTTAGATAGATACTATTATGATTTATATTTTACAGATGAGAAAACTGAGGAGCTAGAGAGGTTCAATTAGTTGCCCAATGTCATGCAGCTAGTAAATGGCAGGACTAGGATTTCAACCAGGTTTGTGTGATTTCAGAGCCTATATATCAGCTATCCATTGCTGCATAACAAATTGCCTCAAAACTGAATGACTTTAAGAACAGTAATCATGTTTAACACCTCAGTTTCTGTGGGTTAAGAATTGTGAGAAGGTATAAGGGGAATGACTGGTTTCTGCCTGCCTGGTGGCAGATGGGACTGACATTATCTGAAAAGTCAGTGTCTAACACCTTGACTAGGAAGACTCAAACAGCAACAGTAAGGGCTAGAACATCTGGGGTTCTCTGGGAATTTCTCTGTCTCTACAAGCTCTTTTACCTCATAGTTTTGGGATATCTGGACTACTTAATGGAGACTCAGTCAAAAAGTGTATGTCCTAAGATCTGGAAAGAACCATGTTGCCTGGAGAGCTAGCTCAAACGTCATGCAATTACTTCCATCACATTCTGTGGTTAAGGCAGTTACAAAGGCCTACCCAGGTTCAAGGTGACGGAACACAAACTCCTTCCTCCAAATAGAAGAATTTTGATAATCTGTTTTATAAGGAGAATATGAGTACAGGGGTTTAGAGTAGTGTGGCCATCTTTAGAAATGTAATGTGCCATGGAGTATATTCCTAATCTCTAAACAACACTATTGAATTTTTAAAGTTTATTACAAAATTAATTTCTGTTCCCTGAAAAAGTAAACACAGGGGCTATGTGTATAGCTCAGAAGTAGAGCATGCAAAAGGCCCTGGGTTTGATACCCAGCACCACAGAAGATAAAAATAAATACAGTAGATCAGCCTGAAGTTAAAAAAAAAAAAAAAAGCTTAACATTTAGCAGTATCTTTTCAGATATACCTGATCATGTACACAATATTTTTTTTTTCAGTGCTGGGGATTGAACCGTGAGCCTCCCACATACTAGGCATGTGCTTTATCTATATCCTGAGCCCTCTAGTGTGTATTTTTAATATAAGAGTGATGAGGGATTTCTTTTTTAAATTATTTTCTTATAATTTTCTTATAGTCTTTTCCATTATGGCATTAGCTTTTAAGGTAAATGTTTAGAAAAGCTTCCCTATCCAATATAATGAAACCATTCTATTTCATGTATTTGATGTTCATATCCAACCATGGAATTAGTTTCTTTTCTTTTCTTTTTTTTTTTTTTGCAGTACTAGGGATTGAGCCCAGGGCCTTAGGCAAATGCTCTACCACTGAGCTACATCCACCAGCCTCTTTTATTTTTTATTTTGAGACAGGATCCTACTAAGTTTCCCAGGCTGTCCTTGAGTTTGAAATCCTCCTGCCTCAGCCTCCTAAATTACTGGGTTTTCAGGTGTGCACCACTGTGTGACTTGGTGAAGGGCTTGGGGATTCTAGGGCAAAGCACTTTCCCCTCTCTTATGCTCTGGATGGAACTGAAATAGTCATTGGGCATTGGTATGTTGGGAGCTTCTCTAAGGTTTTCAGAGTTTCTAGAGAAAATTGAAGCTGGACAAAATTCAGTTCTTGGTTTCCAGGGTGCTCATTTTGGAATGTACTAAAACAGCTGTTTGTTTTTTTTTTTTTCTTTGTCTTTTCCTTTCAGCTTGAAGGTTTACCTGTACTGTTCTCCTGTTACTAAGGAGTTGTTGTTAACTAGCCCGAAATACAGATTCTGGGAGAAACGAATTGTAAGTTTCATTTTTTGAATAACATTAATTCTTTGTGTAAGTTGGAAATATTTTTAGAGGCAGATTGAAAATATTGAAATTATTCAAAGCCTAATTTCTCACACACTGTAGTTGTATATATTAGTTAGAATATTGCTATTTACTCTTCTGTAATACAGCAGTCTAAGAAGTCATCATTTTGTTAATTTTTGTTGTTTTTTCGCAAGAGTTTGATCTAGGTCTTCAATTTTATTTATTTAATCTCACTGACTTTAGCTAAAGTGCATTGTAATTTTTTTGGAGGCAGGGTGCAAGGGCCTCCCACTTCCTAGGTGAGTGCTCTACCACTAGGTTACACCCCAGCTCTTCTTAATTTGAAGCAGGTTTTTTTTAAGTTGCCTGGGTTAACCTGTAACTTGTGATCCTCCTACCTGAGCCTCTCAGGTAGCTGGAATTATAGGTGTACACTACTGTGCCCAGCTTGCATTGTAATATTTTAAAGTAAGATGTTCAATGACTTAATTGCTAAGTTTTTTTTTTTTTTTTTTTTTTTGAGATGGGGGTCTCAAACTTTGTCTGTGTTGCCCAGGTTGGTCTTGAACTCGTGGGCTCAAGTGATCCTTCTATCTCAGTCTCCCATATAGCTGAGACTGTAGGTATACACTATGTCTGACTGCTGAGTCTTTTTATTTAGATCATGAGCTAGATTAGGAAAAATAAACAGTTTATGAGTTATAATAAGAAAGGGATAATAAGCAGAATAATTATAGAACGGATAACCTTCCATCTGGCCGAATAAAATGGTTCTCTCCAATGTAAGGTAGTAAAAGGGAGAAAGCCAAATACAAATCTGATGTATAAAAAATGAGAAAAAGTCCTAGTGTCACAGTAATTATTATAAATATATATGGATTTAATTCAATTCTTGACCAAAATATAAATCCTTAGTTTAGGTTAAAAAATAAGAAAGATCTGCAAAAAAATAGATAAAAGGATAAATAAGGATTGACATTTGAAAACAAAAACAATACAGAGAAGTGGGAAGATGTACCAAACAAGAAGCCAAACATACAAGTGCAGAAATTTTTATATCACACAAAACAGAACTGAAGGCCAAAACAAAAATACTGTAAAATTCAGGAAGGTTGTCATTTACTGTTACAAAGGAAAATGGACCAAGAAGATATGAACATATACACAGTAGATATGAGTCTCCATCTGCATAAATATCTGCAGATCCTGTCTCACCCAATGCAGGATCAGAGAAGGAGGATCACCATGAGTGAATCAAATTAGGGCTTATTATGTGGTCTAGGCCTTACTGCATTGTGGGAGGTGGCTCAAAAATCAGCCCAGTGTCACGAGAAGTCAGTTTGATATCTGACTGATGATAGCTTTTAAGTCCTGCCTCCTTTCTATTTGCCCTGCATTTGGGTGAGTTTAGTTGGAAGCCTAACCACGTCTTGACACCAATGTGAAGTTCAAACAAAACAAGCTCAGGACTACCTACCCCTTTACCACAATAAAAACCTACTTACAGGGGCTGGGTTTGTAGCTCAGTCTTAGAGTGCTTGCCTTACACACCTGAGGCCTTGGGTTCCATCCCCAGCATTTCGAAGGGGCAGGAGAGAACAAACTATTCTCAGTAGAGTATCTATAGTCTACAACAATTCATGATATATTTCAAAATCACTAGAAGAGTCTGAAGGCTCTCAATACAGAAATGATTAACATTTGAGGAAATTAAAATTCTAATAATCCTAATTTGATCAATACACTGTATACATGTATTAAATTATTGTATTGTACTCCATAAATATATATAAACATTATTTGTTGATAAAAACAAAACAACGCAACAAACCTACTCTGTCTTAAGCCACATAGTCCCTTCTATCCCAGCCTGGGTGTGGTGCTGCTCCTCCCAAAAAGTGTGATGATACAAGGAACACATTTTTCTCATATACTCTCGGTGTGTGTGATGTCATTAGTTTCAACACTGATCAGTTGAGAGGGAAGTCCTCCTCTCTTCTGCAGAGCAGCTTCAGCAGAGCATTTGCCTCTTATATTAGACCAGCAGTTGTTATGGGTCTGTCCTGCCAGTGATTAGGAAAGGAGAGCAGAGACAAGCTGGAATCCACAGAGACAAACTAGAAAGGGGGAGGGTAAACAGGTCCCCAACTGTCACTCACTTCTTCCAACCTTGATAATGCTGGTCACTCACCCACTTTGGCATTGTATGTGAGTTGCATGCACATCTGGCCCAGCACTCAGGAAATGTAGGCAGGTATCCATTAGAAATTGGTGTGGATGCAGTTTTGCCCTTCACCCTTGAGTTGAGCCAGATCAGCAGTTAAATTTTCTGGTGCTCTTTACAGCATTAAAAAAAGGGATGTGGGGCTGGGATTGTGGCTCAGCGGTGGAGCACTCACCTAGCACAGGCGGGACCCAGGTTCAATCCTCAGCACCACATAAAAATAAAGGCATTGTGTTGTGTCCATCTACACCCAAAAATAAATAAATATATTTTTAAAAAAGGATATGATTCACTTCCATTTTTCAATTATTTATTTATTTACTTACTTATTATTTGTGTTTGGCCAACCCTAACATGGAAATGACTTCTGGGAATAGTTTCAGCTTAGGTTGGTGTAGTACAAAGCTTCCATAATATAAGGAGAAACAGGCAACCAACAGTTGCTACTAAAGAGCTTAATATACCCTTCTCAGATACTTAAAGACAGGCTGAAAATAAGTGAAGATACAGAAACATTAAATAACATAATAAATGTGAACCAATTAAAAACATAGAATAATAACAAAACATGCTTTCAACCCAACATAGAAAATAGTATTTTGGGGACATCTATAGAACATTTAAAAAATTTGGTTATGTACTGCATCACAAAAGAAGTCTTAAGGTTTCCTGGTGCCCTGTGTTTTCTGACTGTAATGCAACGATTTGAGGGATCAGAAATAAAGGGACAGCTAAAGTCATTCTACACATATGAAAATCAAATGCATACAGTAAATAGTCTTAGGTTGGAGATGAAATTGTAAAAACAACATAATATAAAAAGTACCAAGTTGAGAGAAGAAAAGTGGACAACTAGAATAAATCAAACAATTATCAAAGATCTCTTCTTCATAAAAGCCCAAGCCCAGATGGTTTTATGGGTGCATTTTACCAAATGTTTCAAGAACAAACAATCCCATGTTAGATGAGTTAACTGTAAGAAATAAAAGATAATTCCCCTTCTCCCTCCTTTTCCTTCCCGAATAGCAAGGATGGTGGAAGGAGACGGTCATCATTATACAAAATACATGTATGAAGATGTGAATTTCACATCTTCACCACATTAAAAAAATACAGATATTGCATCTATCTATAACTAAAAAATAAATATTTTTTTAAAAAGACTCCAAATGGGAAGGGATGGAGGAGGAAAAATGAATTCAATAGAAGTAGAATTGCCATGTTGAAGGATATGTATATACATATATTATAAGGCATTTAATACATAGTCAAACCCACCTTAATAAGGGTACCATTTGTATTTCATGATTTTTTCAAATGATTGAAATATTTATTATAGTATAACTAGAAATTGTTACTACAGAGTCTGGAACTTATTCACATAGTTTCTTTTCAGTATTTGAGATGACCAAGGCATGGAAAACTGATATATGTGTTCTCTTATTTTATTTTAATAGATATCAATTGAAATTGAAACTCCTACCCAGATATCTTTAGTTGATGAAGCATCAGGCGAGGTAACTAAATATTCAATACTGTGGGGTTTTTTTAAGTGATAAGATGATTGTTTATCCTGGCTTTTGAATGTTTGTTTAATCATAAATCAAAATTTATTAATTATGTTTTAGAGAAAACAACCAAACCATCTGTGGTTGTCTTGTCTATTTGGGCTCCTGTAACAAAAATACTGTAGACTGGGTGTTTTAAACAACAGCGACTTATCTCTCATAGTTCTGGAGAGGCTCAAGTGTATTTGGTGACTGGTGAGGGCCTGCGTTTTGGTTCAGCTAAAAGGGTAAAAATCTCCCTTTTAAAGAGCACTATCGCATTCATGGGTGCCCCACCTTCAAGAACTAATCACCTTCCCAAAATCTCCTATAAAAATCACTTTAGCGGGTTAGACTTTCAGCCTATGGATTTTGTGGGGACACAAATATTCAGTTCATGATAGTGACATATTTATTTCTCACATTAAAAAGATTAGATATTTTTTGTTGAAATTGCTCCTTTTTAGTATTGTGTACTAACAATGAGGACAACAGTTATTGATAATCTACCTGATACCTTGCTAAGTTTATTAATTTATTATAATTTTCAGGATCTAAAATGGTGATTAATACTTTTGAGGCAAATTTATGTATGTTGCAAATTTTTTCCTGAATCATTTTTTGCATTTTTAAAAAGATACCACTGCCCAAGTGAATCAAACTTATCTTTCATCTTTAAATTCAGAAGTAATACTTTGTGAGTGTATAGTTTTAATAGTAAACAAAACTATGGGCCTACTTTTTAAAAAACAAAATGAGACCCTTAAATTATCCATAGGGCTAGGAGGAATTTTCCTATTTTATGGCAAATCTAGTTAGTATTTCTGTAGTGTGCTCATAACATGTCAATTTGACATGTTAACTCTGGGAATATGATCAGAACAGAGATGACTTTTTCAAATGTATATTCGGAGAAGAAGATCAGATAGTTAAGTCTGCTGTCCTGGGCCCACTTAGCTAAATGGTTCTGGAGAGAATATAATTGGTGTTTGGCTTTGTCACATTTGGGTGTATTGGTAAAAGGCTTTCTCAAAGCTGGGCAGCAAATGGTAGTCAGGCTGTTGGTAAGCAGATTATTGCTGTGCTGCCCTGATCCTTTGTTTCCTGTTGTGCCATGTGGCTTTTGTTCATTGATTATCCAGCCACAGCCAATGGGAGATGCCATTTTCCTTCAGAATGAAGAATATTAGACTTGATGAAAGGAGTCACCATTACAGAGTAGGAAGCTGGTGAGAACAGATCTCTGCTCCTGCTTACTTATGGTTGGAGAGTCAGCCATACCCAACAGGCTCTGTCCTAAAGAGATAGTGTGATGTGCAGTGTGGTGAATTGGGATGAGGCTACATTGATTTTTTTTTAAACAGATTTATTGAGAAATCTGCCAGCCACATAGGTTACTCATTTAAAGTATACAACTCAGTAGCTTTTAATATACTCACAGAGCTGTGTGTCCATCATCATAATCAACTTTAGAATATTTTTATCCCCCAAAAGAGAAACTCTATACCCATTGTAGTCACTCTCCATTGTCTCCTATTCCTCCCCAGGTGCTGATAACCAGTCTGTCCATGGACTTGGCCTGTTCTAGAAATTTCATATCAGTGGACTCATATAGCACATGGTCCTTTGTGTCTGGCTTCTTCCCTGAAAATAATGTTTTCTTTTCTATGTCTTTGTTTTCTCTTTTATTTTTTTGGTCCTGGTGATTGAACCCAGGGATGCTTTACGTTGAGCTACATGCCCAGCCCTTTTGCTCTTTTAAATTTTTTGTTTTGAAACAGAGTCTCACTAAGTTGCTTAGGGCCTCACTAAGTTACTGAGGCTGGCCTCTAACTTGTAATTCTCCTGCTTCAGCCTCCTGACTTGCTGGAATTACAGGTGTGCACCACTCCCGGTTCTGAACATGTTTTCAAGGGGATCCACGTGTATGAACATGACATATGTTGTACACGTAGCATATGTCAGCACTTCATTCCTTGTGTAGCTAAATAACATTCCATTATATAGACAGACCATATTTTGTTTATCCATTCATCAGTTGATAGACATTTGGACTGTTTCTACTTTTTTGGCTAGTATTAATAATTATGCTGTGAATATGCATTACAATTTTTTGTGTGGACATAATTTTTCAGTTCTCTTGAGTATATAACTAGAGGTGGAGTTGCTAAGTCCTGTGGTAATTCTTGTGTTTAACTGCTGGTTGAACAATTGAGGATCTATTTGTTTCCAGGACCTAGAAAGTGAAGAAAGGAGAGAAAAGGCATGTTCTTGAGAGCTGTTTGCTTTATTTAGCTAGGTCCCAGTGATAACTTTTGTTGTTATTTCTTCTCCATTTTCTTTTTTAGAGGGAAGAGATTGTTGTGACTCTTTTACCTGCTGGTCACTGCCCAGGATCAGTTATGTAAGGGACTCATCTATTTGCCTTTTTACTCTATGTAATATGTATTGTGTTATGGAAATACATTTTTAGAGTCAAAAAATTCTATGTGTAGGAAATCTGATTATTTTTCTGGCAGTGATTTTACTTTGTTTCCAAATTGAATTTGAGAAATTGAGGTTAAGATCAGACTTGACATGTGTCTTTCTTATAATGGAGGTCTTCAGAAACTGTTTCTCCAGTGACTTTACATTGTCTTATCACATGGGTTTTTGCCTCTATGAACAGAAATGATCTTGACATAAACTTTAGAGTGCTAACATATTACAGGCTACACCTATTATGAGCTCAATTAGTATCTACATTCTATTATTTCTTTCTTTCCCAGGGAAGAGGTAGTAGTTAAGTGCCAGATGTGGACTTGGAGCTATTGAAATTTCATTAATACTGTATCATAATGGATATATTTGGCAGGAAGCATTTCTATAGATTTAGCATGTATTTGGTTTATTAAGACTTGGTCTGAAACTCAGAGTCATTGAGATACATTTGCTTTTCAGGTTTTTATTTCAGGGCAATAATGGAACTGTCTTGTACACAGGAGACTTTAGACTGGCGAAAGGAGAAGCTGCCAGAATGGAGCTTCTGCACTCTGGAGGCAGGTATGTATGGGCCTTATACAATTCTTGAAGGTAAGGCTACATAGTTTAAAAAGGATTCTTGCTCTCTTCCCACTAAACACAAGTCTTTGTATTAGAAATAAGACTTGATTATAATAATTACAATAGTAAAGCAAATTAGTTGGGCACGATGGCAGATGCCTGTAATCCCAGCAACTCAGGAGGCTGAGGCAGGAGGATAGTGAGTTCAAAACCAGCCTCAACAATTTAAAGAGGCTCTAAGTAACTCAGAGAGATTCTATCTCTAAATAAAATATACAAAAAAGGGCTGGGGGTGTGTCTCAGTGGTTAAGCACCCCTTGGTTCATCCATGGTACACCCCCCTCCCTAAAAAAAAAGAATACTAGAGCAAATTTTCTTCCTTGAAATGGAAGAAGATTTTTTTTTTTTTGCTAATAGTCATATAAGCTTATCAAAAGTCACTGGATCCTTCATACAAACTCTCTATTTTATTGTATAGAAATAGTTTCCCAACAAAGTTGATTAACAAAAAAAAATTCCAAATGGAATGGAATACCCTGTAAAATAAAGTGTAAATTGTTCACATGATTTGTGTCACATTAGGCAGCTAACACCATTTATTTTTCTGTTTTCAGAGTAAAAGACATCCAAAGTGTATATTTAGATACTACCTTCTGCGATCCAAGGTTTTATCAAATTCCAAGTCGCGTAAGTCTGCTTGGAGAAGTGGGGCAATGACATGGGGTGTGGCCGTGTATAGGATGACACATGAAGCCATAATTGTCCCCCATGGCTCAGATATCTACAAGTGTGGGGATGAAAGGGGTAAGTGAGGCTCTTATGAGTGTTAAATGTCCTTTACAAATCCTGTCTAGGGGGAGTGTTTAAGTGGAATTTTAGAGCTGGTTCAAAGCTGGATCACTCGGAGCCCGTACCATGTTGTGTGGCTGAACTGCAAAGCAGCTTATGGCTATGAATATTTATTCACCAATCTTAGTGAAGAGTTGGGAGTCCAGGTACTGTGTTTGTTCTTTTCACCTGCTCTCTTTTATCCACCCCATTCACCTTTCCTTCCCCTCCCCACCCCCAAATAATAGAAAATAGTGACAGGTAGCTTATCAAAACATGGCTACAGCAGAGATTGGTGGCTCCTCTAAAGTCATATATCATCTTTGTTAACTGATGTCCTCATGGGAGGAAATTGGTGGAAACCTGAATGGTATAGAAGGGTCTTAAGCAAAATACGCCATAGAGGAAGTATTATTCCCAAACTGTAGGTCATGAAATAATTGAAACTCATATTAGAAATAAATTTGGACTAGGAGATATCTGAGTGTATTGCTTGCAGCCAAGTGATCATTTTATGAAAATTTACTTAGGTCCTCAGTCACAAACATACATGCATATGTTTATATAGGTGTGCTGAGTTGCTATGGAAATATGTTTTCTTTTGTTGGTCGTAGTCAACAGTGAATGAAGAACATTGTCCTGGAGAATTGGTTCCTTAGCCTCATTGATAGATCAGTATCAGATTGAGAGGGAGTTTTCACCTATCCTTTCCAGATAGTTCTTTCCAGCTGCTCAGTGCTGGGTTTTTAGAACCAAAGCAATAGAGCCCAGAATATGTGTGGATGACTGTCAAGCAAGGAGCTCCCTACCTTCAGGGCTTACCTGAAGAGAGTGTCTTGAGCTCTCGTCTCTTAAGAGAAAATAGATTTTTGATCATGACTGAACGAAATGATGTACTGGGACTAGTTGGCCATTTAAATTTTGTTTGATTTTGTACCTTTTAATATAGATCTCCAAACAAACTTGTGACAAGAACTACAAGTTACATATAATGTACTTTAGTAAAGTTAAAATGATCTAGTTATTCTGCATTTGAAATTTCAAAAACTTTTTTTTTTGTACTGAGAATTAAACCCAGTAGCACTTAGCCACTGAGCCACATCCCCAGCCCTTTTAATATTTTATTTTGAGACAGATCTTGCTAAGTTGCTGAGGCTGGTTTTGAACTTGCAATCTTCCTGCCTTAGTCTTCCTAGCTACTATACCACTGCACCCAGCTAAATTCCTCCTTTACTTCTCAAGTGAAGGTCTTCCTTCCTAAATCATTTTCTTGGCTTCATCCATCCTTATGTCATTCTGTCCAAAAATATCTGAATAAAGTTGCCAGTTCTCTATTTTAAGAAGGATATGTTTTTGTTCTGAGGTTTTCCGTCCTGTTTTTGATGTAAAAAATAGCCTTTTAAATTAAATCACAGTGGTGACAGATTGTGTTCTCTCACTTTCTTACACACTCACACACACACATGCTTACATATACTATGTGGTATTTTTCCCTTATGCATTATTTTGGTAAAATATAAAAGTACTTGTCAGTCCCAAATTTGTTATATAATTTTAGTGGCATGTGGAATAGTAGAAGCTTAAAATGCTAAAGGTGAACAAGATGTGGATATTTGTTTTTCTGTATCTGCTCTCCCTCTTGACCCAGAAAATTGATATGTGGTGGGGAAATCTGACCCTTGTTTCTTTAACTGCCACTACCTTGCAGGAAGAGGCCAGGAGGAGGGATTCAGGGAGAGGCTTTGGTGGTGACCCCAGAGTTTCCTCTGAGTGAGACCTTTTAATTCTGTTAATTCCTTTGCAGAGGATGGGGAAATTTTTAGGTCAGGAATTTGAAAAGAAAAAAATGGTGAGGTTCTCAACTAAGGGACTTCAGAGATAATCTATAGCTGCTTTTCCTGTTTTTATTTTTATTTTTTTTTAAGAGAGAGAATTTTTTAATTTTTTTTTTTTTTTTTAGTTTTCAGCGGACACAACATCTTTGTTTGTATGTGGTGCTGAGGATCGAACCCCGGCCGCATGCATGCCAGGCAAGCGTGCTACCACTTGAGCCACATCTCCAGCCCTTCCTGTTTTTATTTTTTGAAGTATAGTTTTGTGAAGTATAGTTTCTATACCAGTCTTTATCATCTCAGAATTTATCTCTATTCATCCCTCTTCCTTAGCCCAGAAAATCTTTCATTTTTACTTCTTATGGGTCATTAGTAAACAAGTAGTGAGCAGAATGGGCCGTTGGATAAAAAAGCAGTTATGTTTATGTTCTTTTTATACCTGTCTTGGTAAATTCAGCACATCATTTGACATTCTTTTTTTTTTTTTTTTGTGGCAATGGGGATTGAACCCAGGGGTGTTTTACCACTGAGCTCAAAACTTGGGATCCTCCTACCTCAGCCTCCTCGGTGGCTGGAATTAAAAGTGTGTGCCAGTGTACCCAGCTGCAATGTGATATTATTCTAATCTGATTGTTAATCAGACATCAAAATGAAATGCTTCTTTTTTGCCATGTCAGAATCCTAATATCAATTTACATGCTTGGAATTTTCTCTGAAGTACCCAGAAGATAAGCTTTAAGTAAACCTGGAACCTTGATTTAACACTTTAACATGTGTTAACCTTAAAATGCTAAAGGTGACCAAGATGTGGATATTTGTTTTTTCTGCATCTGCTCTCCCTCTTGACCCAGAAAATTGATATGTGGTGGGGAAATCTGACCCTTGTTTCTTTACCCGACACTGCCCCTTTGTGGCACCTTGTATGTGTCTTTTAAGAGGAGATTCTGGATCATCCCTATCTGCTTTGTTCATAGAAATATAACCCAGGATTTAGAATAAATCTTGATTGTATAGTAGATGCACAATATATATGAATCAAGAGACTCTGGAAGAACTGAAGGACGGTATTAGCAAGATCAAATGAAATCCATGGGCTTAGTCCTTTGTCCGTTGACCTAATGGCAGAATATTAACAAGCAATGAATGAACAAATAGCCAGGTGGAAAAAAAAACCCTGAGAACATATATCTAGATATTGCTAGTTACAATTAGATGTAACTAACTGGATATTTTGCCCCTCAATATTTGTTCCCCTTGAACAATTCTGGATCATCCCTATCTGCTTTGTTCATAGATATATAACCCAGGATTTAGAATAAATCTTGATTGTATAATAGAAGCACAATACATATGAATACATTTCAAATAATTTGCTTATGCCTGTTATTTTCCATAGATTCATGTGGACAAGCTGGACATGTTTAGAAACATGCCTGACATTCTTCATCATCTCACAACAGACCGTAGCACCCAGATCCACGCATGTCGGCATCCAAAGGTATCTGTGTAAACGACCATTCTCATGTTGTTTTCAGGATCCATAAAAGCCAGAATGTTAGGTCAAAAAGGAACTTCAAAAATTTCATTTGAGACTCATCACTTTGTAAACATAAAAGCTGAGACTACAATCCTAAGTTATTAGCTCAAAGTTATGCAGCCATACATAACTGTATTTCTTTAACGTATATATCATAATAATAGAACAGATCCTTATAGTTTAATTTAAATAAAATCTATTCCTATACATTCTAGAATGTAAATTTGTTTCTAATGAAATAATATGCTCTAGATTATAATTTAAGTGAATATATTTATGGTCCACTACTATTTAATTTTTGAGACTCATGACATACACATGTTCATAAACTTTAGTTTTCTAGATATAACTTCCTTCAGACTTTGAAGAAGTGACATGTATTAACGGCCCAATTTTCAGTGAATGTTTCCAGTGCCTCTGCAACTCACCTGTAATTTTTTTTTTCCTGTAGTACGGATTAAACTAAAGGGCTTTCTACTACTGAACTGTGTCCCTGGCCCTTTGTATTTTTATTTTGAGACAGGGTCTTGCTAAGTTGTCCAGGCTGTCCTCAAATTTGCCATCCTCCTGCCTTAGCCTCATGAGTAACTGAGATTACAGGAGTGCACCACCGAGGCCAGCTTTGATCTGTTTTTAATGCTACCACAGAGCCTTTCTGTTATTAAACACCAGGGATAGGTCTTAACGTTTTGAATTTGCCTTTAATATATTCATTTTAATTATTAAGACTAGTTACCTTCAAATGCAGTGATATGAGTGATCATAATTTCCTTCTAAAATTTTAATAATCTTAGCATGCAAATGCTGAGGTTTTTTTTTTTTTTTTTTGGTAAGTAGGCAATGCATTTATATGTTCAGATTACTATTTGGTGATATTGGTCCCATATACATAAGCCAAAACTTTAAGTCTACTTGCTTGGCCCTTACAATAAAGTATAACTTTAAACCAAAAAAGTAACTTTTATTGACAATGTGGAATGTTTTTTGGGGGGAGGCCACTGTAAGAGCTAGAGGTAAGAAATTACATTTGATGGTTTGTAAACTGCATATTATAACTTGCATTCATGAATGTATTTAATCATTTTTGGTGTGTGTGTGTATAGATATATGTGTATGTACAAATGCATGCACACATCCAATGAATTTGTGGATAGATAAAAATTTTAAATTTTAAAATTATCAAATTTCTTTTTGCTCTGATTTTTCTCACATTTCACAAAGTAGCTTAATTTGTAATTGCTATTGCTGTCATTTGCCACAAAGCTGACTTTTCTTGGGACACTATTTCTAGTGGCTTAAGATATTCCTTAGGCCACATAGTTTTTACAAATACTGATTAGTAGATCCAGAGCTTGAGGAGTCCTGTTGCAGTCTCATCTAGATCCTTACAAGAAATAGTAATTTCTGTGAAGAAATTTGAGTGGGATGGAGTGAATCCAAACATAATGTCTTTGGAACAAACATCTTATTATTTTTCAAATTTGTAAAAGCACCTTTTTATATTTTTTCCTCCAGTTTTATTTTGAAGTTTTTAAAAACAGTAAAGTTGTAAGCCTAGTACAAATCCTACTGTATTTATTCATCTGGACTCATCATTTTGTTGACACTGCCACATATTCTCTCTCTCTCCCTCTCTCCATGTATAACCACCCACAGCTCAAACCTCTGGAGAGTAAGTTGCAGATTTCCTGTCATTTCACCTGAACTCCTTCAGCATGAAGGAGTTAAGAACAAGAACATTCTCTTATGCAAACACAACATGATTCACCCACTCAGGAAATTTAATGTTGCTATAATACTATTGGCTAGTTTATAGTCCATATTCCAATTTCCCAATTGTCCCAATAGTATGCTTTAGCCTATGAGGATGGGAGCAATTAATTAAATCCAAGATTTAATTAAAGATCATGCATTGCATTCAGTCAACTTCAAGAGTCTTTAGATGTATAGATCATGTCTCCAGCCTTTAGTTCTAGTTCCTCATATTGATTGTTTTGAAGAGTCGAAGCCAGTTGTTCTGCAGAAAGTTTCTCAATTTGGAATTGTCTGATTGTTTGCTCATATTTACACTTTTTGTTCATGTCTAAAAACTTATTTACTTTTGTTTTTGAGATTTTACCTGCAAGCAGTTTTGTTGAAAATATATAACTGTATCTATATATTTTTTAATCTTTTTTAGGCAGAGGAATATTTTCATTGGAACAAATTACCATGTGGAATTACTTCCAAAACTGGAATTCCACTCCACATAGTCAGCATTAAGCCTTCTACCATGTGGTTTGGAGAAAGAACTAGAAAAACAAATGTGATAGTGAGGTAAGAAACTCATGCCATTGGTCTTCTGAGAGAAACTTTGAGATAAAATATTTTAATTTAGTTTCAGAACAGTCTAGCCTAAGCCCAAGAAGAGGATCTACTGTAATGGTGGGGATTCCTTTCTTTAAACATTATATAAACTGAAGAGATACTATTCCAAACCTATTATGAAAAAATTAAATCTAGAAGGCTGTTCTAGTGAGGGAGGAGAGAAGATGGCTGGAGCCTGCAGGAATCGGAGTGGTTGGGTATGAGTTGTACATTGATGTGGAAAATAGAAGCTCCTGGACAGAGTAAAGAGTTTTCATAATGATATCTTCAAACCATTTCCTTCACTTTGGCTATTTAGAATATCTACAGCAGATTTCCAGTTCTGGAAAGTCTACTCCTGTTCCAAGAAGAAATTCCTGATTGTGGGGTGATTTCATACTTGAATAGCCTAAAGATTAGAGTCAGGACTTTTAGCTTAGTTTTGCTAAATGACTTTTTAAATTTTTGCTTTCATTTCCCTTTAGGACTGGGGAGAGTTCATACAGAGCTTGCTTTTCTTTTCATTCCTCCTATAGTGAGGTAAGGGGATCCCATAAACTCATAACTTTTCTCCTAATAGTACTTCAGCCTTCATCATTGATAACAGTACTCTTGACTTCCAGAGGCATCTCTGTTTAAATATCATCTTGTTTCATTTTTTTCTAGTAACAGTTGGTTCTCATTATTCATGAACTCCATATTTCTGAGTTTGCTCACTCACCGTTACTTATTTATAACCCCAATATCAATACTTGCAGCCCCTCAGGAGTCAGTCATTTGGACAGTGATGAGAAATGTGAGTCACTTAACATGCACTTTTCATGATCTAGTTGAACAAGGCAGCTCTCATACTGTAGCTTTCATACTATAAATAAGTGTCCTTTTTGTGGTTTGTAGAATGCCACTTTTTTTTTTGTATTTTTGTGCTTTCTGTTAGAGATCTCACTGTTTAAAATGGCTCTGCTTGGAGCCACAGGGCTGAAGTTCTATCTAGTGCTCTTAAGCACAAGAAGGCTGTGATGTGCCTTATGGTAAAAATATGTATTAAGAATCAAGCATGATGGTGCACATCTGTAATCCCAGTGGCTGGGGAGGCTGAGGCAGGAGGATTGCAAGCTCAAAGCCAGCCTCAGCAACTTAGTGAGGCCCTAAGCAACTTAGTGAGACTCTGTCTCAAAATAAAAAGGGCTAAGGATGTGATTAAGCACCCCTGGGTTCAATTCTTAGTACAAAACACACACACACACACACACACACACACACACACAAATTTTTAGGTCTGAGTTACAGTGCTGTTTGCTGTGAGTTCAATGTTAACAAATCAGCAGTGTTAAACAAATTGTCTTTAAACAAATACATATAAAACAAGAGTATATGTAGATTGGTTGATGAAGATATCAATAGGGGCTTTCAGGAATCTAATTATGTACCATTTTCCTCCCTAGAAGCAGTGGTTCAGTATCCTCTAATTCAGTGTTCATAATGATTTTTTAGAATATAATTCCCTACAAATACTGAGAAATGATGGTTGTAGTGTATTTTATTTAGACAGGCTGTCAACTTGAACAAGAAAGGATATTCCTTTGTTAGGTGTCTCAGAAGTAGTGGATCACTTCTGGTTATAGGTTTGACCTTTTTCTCCTTATACAATGCCTGAGGACTAGATCTCCCTACCTTTCTAAGTCAAAGTAGCCTTTTATCTTAATATAGAGTTATTGGCAACATCTGAGCTCTTATCTCTTAACTTGATGCTTTATTTGGAAAGGTAGATGCTAATAATTATTCTGTGCCCTAGTCATTCCATTTGCAAAAGGGAAATTTTTGTGTTGTCATCATGGAAATAATTGATCCATTTTATTTTTCTTCTTCTAGATTAAAGATTTCTTGAGCTACATTTGTCCTGTGAACGCATATCCAAATGTCATCCCATTGGGCACAACTAAGGATAAAGTTATAGAAATGTGAGTAGTTACTACTTGTGGCATTTATTACTCCCTTGATGGCTTTTGTCTAGGAGACAAAGGAATTTTGCCTGAAAGTTTGCAAATCTGGAACCTGATTCTGCTGTTAATATTTTCAAACTCTATTCATCTCCCTTTTTTCCTTTCATTCAATGTGTCAGAATGTATAGGTAGAATTATGAATTTGTCCTGGGTGGAATCCTGGCTCTACCATTTACTTGCAGTGTGATCTCAGATGATTTCTCTAAATTAGTTATTTCTAATAAGCAAAGTAGGAGTATCCATTCATGCTTATTTGTTGAGTTTCTCAGAAATTTAGAGATAATATATAAAAAACACTTAGCATAGTGCCAAGCAGGTGATCAGTGAAGATATGTAGTGAATGGACAAGCAAAACCAAAGGAGAGGTGAAACAGTATGATTATCTTTTACTGTCACTATGTTTTTAACCTCTTCTTTAAGTTCCATCTATTCATTCATTAAATATTTCTTTATTTTTTCTTTTGACAGTACTGGGGATTAGAACCCAGGGGTGTTCTACCTCCATCCCTTTTTATTTTGACATAGGGTCATTCTAAGTTGCCCAGATTGGCCTCAAACCTGCACTCCGAAAAGTTTCTGGATTACAGATGTGTGCCACCATACCTGGCCTATTCATTAAATGTTTCTCTAGTGCCAGTTCTAGCTTAGGCACTGCACTTTGGATGGATTCAAGTTGACTAAGATACACCAATACTTATGGAATTCTGGAGTATTGGGAGAAGGCTGGGTCTGAACAGGAGCATACCATATACATACAAATTTCTGTGAATCACGAAGGTATCTGGCCTGGTGCCAGGAAATCTACCCCAGAGACTGAGTATATACAATATTCTGATAAGTATATATACAGAACTAGGCTTGCAAGCGTTCATGGAAAATAGGGTTTAGGACCAAGCTCTGGAGAGAGGTGTAGATTGGAAGCACAGATTTAGGAGGTGCAGTGCAGGCGATAACTGAAACCATAAGGACAAAGGAAATCACCAGGAGAGAATGAAGAGGGTAAAATAAGGAGGTCAAAATTCTGAGCAGCACATTAAGGAATGAGAAGGAGACAGAGTGGCCTAGACAGTGGGAGGACCAGGAAAAACAAAGTATAGTGTATCAGTGGCAAATTTTTGATTAGTCAAATAATATAGGGAGGTCTTCTRTTGCCTTGGTAATTAGGTCATTTGTATGTGCCTAATGAGGGCAATTTTAGTAGACTTATGAGTTGGAAGCCAGATTGTATTTTTTTGTTTTTGAGAAATGTGTAAAAGTGAGGAAGACTATTCTTCAAACAGTTTGATAATGCCAGGCATAGTGGTATACCCCTGTAATCCCTGCAACTCAGGAAACTGAGGCAGGAGGATCACAAGTTTGGGGCCAGTCCTAGCAATTAGCAAGGCCCTAACCAAATTAGACACTGTCTCAAAATAAAAAGGGCTGGGAATGTGGCTCAGTGGTTGTTTCCCAGAACTACAGGGACTATGATACTAGGTTCAATCCTTAATAACAAAAAAACAAAAAAAAAAAAAATTTTTTTTTGATAGTTCAGGGAAGGGTACAGACAAGAGTTAGAGTCTTGATATTAAAAGAGCTGAGATGTAAAAATGCCTTTTGTAATTAATCTTGAATACACTTAAGAATCAGTTTGAGTGCTTGGTAAATTCCTCTTCCCTCATCTTGCATTTCATGAGGTAGTTCTGTTACAGGCAGGCCTGGGGAGAAACTCCTTACTTTGAAAGTTACCAAAGGAGAGTAGTTAAAATGATTTTAAGAAGTGTTAACAGAGCTAAGGTTCTGGAGGGAATGGAACAGAATAGACTCTGAACAAAAGAAGAAGAGTGACAATGGCAGGTGGGTGTGGCTGAACATAAATTTCAGGTTGGGAGCTTCCTGGTGCTCTCCTCCAAGTGGTAAGTTATATAAAATCCTCAAGGCTTCTGGCAATCTTCAAAGAAGCAGTTAGCAATGCTACCTTCAATGAAGGGTAGATGCTTTCTCCTTTTATTTGTCGTCACACTTTCAGCCTGTAGCTCCAGAATGAAGAGATAAATATGTGAGATTTGCAAGATATAAGTAAATCCCATTAAACAGGGAGAGGGAAGCAGCTAGCTATCCTATATTCCCTGAATACCATGAAGCATTGTATTACTTAATAGTGTTTTAGGATAGGGACCTACTTTTCTGCATTACAAGAGTGAAGATCTAAGTTTTGTTTCCCTTAATCCTAACAAGTAGATTATCTTGGGGTTATATTTAAGTACCTGTTTACCAGTTTATTTTATTAAAGTAATTTTTAATAAACACTACTTTCAGTTCTTAAAAGAAGTTGTACGAGTTCCCCCATAGTCAAGTTTTTGTAGTCTCTATAAATCATGCAAACTTTCTAGCAGTTTTTCCAAAAGGAAAAGTCAAATATTTTGATTCTTTTTAGCTTGCAGCCTTTATGCAGATCTTCCCAAAGTACTGAGCCAAAGTATAAACCACTTGGAAAACTGAAGAGAGCTAGAACAATTCATGTAGACTCAGGTAAGAAAAATGGTCCTAGGTCCAGTGGTGTGGGTTTCCTGCAAAGATGTTTTTCAGGATGTTCTGGTCTGGTAAAGTGGCTTTGGGCTGATAGACATGGTCTCCAGGAAGAGCTTTGCTTTACTATCTTCAGGAAGTCAGGAGTCCGATGTCCTTCCCAGGTATGTAGTAAGTGGTGAAAACCTGTTGCACATTGCAAGGTGTTCTCAGCTTTCTGGGAACATGCTCTGTGACTAGTAGAGGCCCCAAAGAGGGGCTGTGTTGTTACCCCTGCATGTTTCTCTTCAATATACAGTCTGAAATGAAGCCATTATTAATGTAATTTCTTATCAGACTGATCAGTGGTGGAGAAAAATCAATGGATTTTCTCTATACTTTCTTTAATCACTACTTTCATTTTTTAGAGATAAGCTCCCATATAGAAATCAGAACTTTACAGTCTTAGTGAAGCTCTCCTGATTTACACCCAGCCATATTTTATGGTTAGGATTCTGGTTTCCTTTGGTGGAGAGTCAGTTACTATACCATATAGTGAATATATAATGCTTCTTGAACACCTAGTACATGGCTGGTATTGTGCTAGCCATATGGTATCTGTTTTGTTTGAGCTGCCGTAACAAAAAAAAAAAAAAAAAACAGATTGCGTAATTTAAACAGACTTATTTCTCACCATACTGGAGATTAGAAATCCAAAATCAAGGGGCTGGCAAGGTACATTTCATTCTGAGGCCCTTTCTCTTGGCTTGTAGTTAGCCATCCTCTTTTGTGCCCACAAGGTACAGGGAGAGCACTTGAGAATTGGAGATATCTGGTGTTTCTTAAAGGATACTAATCCTGCCAGATCAGGGCCCCATCCTCATTTACCCATAATCGCTCCCTTAGAGGCTCTATCTGCAGATTAACTGGTACACTGGAAGCTGAAATTCTTTTTTTTTTTCCCTTTGTTACTTTCTACTAACTTATGCCTTTCTTTTTTTTTTNTGTGGAGTGCTCTGTGACTATCAATCGCATGTATAGATGTAATAAGAAATACACCATCTAATAAGAAATACAACCTTAAACAAGGGGAAGATAAAATCAGTGCCTTTGGGCTTCCTCTTGGCCAAGTATCTCGTAGTCAACAAGTTGTTGAATCCTGGCCTTGCATCTGCACTGGGTCTATGTGTCAGGTACCCCTGAATGCAGAASAAACCACTCCAGAACTTACCAGCTCATGACTGGGCTGGTCAGCAATCTGGGCASAGTGGGGCCCACTCAGGCCTGTGTTGACCAGGCAGCTCTGCTTCTGGGGAGAACTGGCTGTTGGCTGGGGCACCTTGGTTCTCTTCCCCATGGTATCTCCTCCTCCATAAGCAACACAGTCTTTGTGTTCATGGAGACAGAGGGATCTGGTAAGAAGACCAAAAGCACCCAAGACTTTTGATCTAAGTTGCAGAATGATACACTGTCATATTCATTGTATTCTATTGGATGTAATAAATAAACTGTGACCATAACAGTATTGGTTTTTGTTGTGCTTTAATATTAGCTACCTTTCCATTTATTTAGATCTTCTTTGATTACTTTCTACTTTCTGTCTTCACTTTCTGGTGGACAGGTCTTAACCTTCTGTTGTAAAATGCCGCAGTCTGGCTGGGCACAAAATCACAAGCCACTCACAGCCTTGTAGATTCAAACAGCAATTCTTTATTCTCAACTCACACCGGCACTCTACACTTTCTGGGGAAATTCACGTTCTCTGCAAAATCCACTTCTGAATCCCAAATACTCTGGGAGCGGGCATGCCTGAGGCAGCAGGATATGCCCTATTCCCAGCAGGGTACACCTTAAACCTGGAACTGCCTTAAACCCAAGGAGCGGGATACTCCCTATTCCCAGCAGGATACAACCTAAACYTGGATCCGCCCTAATCCAGTAGGATCCTCCTTAAATCCGGATCCACCCTGGTCCTTGAGCAGGGTCACCTTTCTCAAACATACATGCATTGTCACTGCAAATGTCCAAGGCAAGTCCATTTCCACGAGTCCTTTCTCTAAGCAACATGGGGTACRCTGGCAAGGAAATTTCGATGCGTCATTCCTACTTGGCAATGGCTCTCAGCAGTAAAATTCATTTCTAAGTATATTTTTATACAATTTATACTATTATATTACAATATAATAGAAGTRCTTCTTGTTTTCATTTTCCAGTGTAAAAATCTTCTATTTTTGTGTTTATTTGTCTTGTCATCCGCAGCTTTGATGAGCTAATTGAGTCTTGTATTGTGTGTTCATTTGTCTGTGAATTCCTTAGAAATTATTACATATGTTTTCAATATAATTTCTCTTTGTTGTTAAATATCCAAACCTCCAGTTAAATAATGAATATAAATAGCAAACTCAGATACTCTTTTTTTGTCTTATCATTCCCTGAGATATAAAACACTCAGATTTTAC